TACCACTTCGGTGGGAAGATAACAGTGTTCCTTGCACCTTGGTGTTTAGTCATGCCGGCCACACGACCACGGAAACGTCTTTGGATAGCGCTGGCTCTTCGGCTTTGAAATGGAGATGAGCACCGCAACCCTAGAGTCAGATTCGACTGGCTTTCGAGCAAGGGGACCTTTACCTTTTACTACCGCTGTTGGGAGGGCTTGCCATCTAGCGAGAGTGAACACCCTCCGGTGGCTTGGGATCTCCAGCTGAAATATGTATCCCGCTGGGATGGCTGCACATCTGACTTGTGAAGCTAAAAAGGCTGGTGACCTCACTACTGCTAGTCCATTATAAACCCAGTCTTGGCACCCACACAGGGTTAAACAATAGCCCCTGTGATAAGACTCCCCAAGATTTGTCAACTCTTATGTCTTGATTATTGAAATAAGCCTTTATTCTTCAAATGGGATCCTTTCCAATACCTCTCTGGTCCCCGGGTCCCTTTGCAAAATTAGATTAGATAGATAGATAGATAGATAGATAGATAGATAGATAGATAGATAGATAGATAGATAGATAGATAGATAGACAGACAGACAGACAGACAGACAGACAGACAGACAGACAGACAGACAGACAAGAGAGAGAGAGAGAGAGAGAGAGAGAGAGAGAGACAGACAGACAGACAGACAGACAGACGAAGAACAGATGATTCCCAATAAAATGCTATTACTGATACGGAATTGCTCAAACATTTAAAAAACAAATAGAAAGATCACAGTGTTACAGATCTATTATGTGCTGCGTACCCTGTTAAATATACATCATGTAATATGTTGCTGAGATTGACAGGTTAAAAAACCTGGCAACTGTTCATTGCTTACTGGAACGTATTTGAATTTATGTGAATGCTTCGGAATTTTATTTATAGGTATGTTTATAATGTACCTCTTATTTTGCGTTGGGTCAAAACTTGTATCTATATAGTCATACATATTCATAGGTTGTGTATGTTGAGAATTATTAATTAATTTTAAAAAGGGTTGGGAGAAGAGCACGTTCAGGAAAGATTAATTTCCAGGATGGTATCCCTCCTGTGTATTTGCTATTCTTTCCTGTGCTGTAACTATACCACAATACCTCTGCTTCTTTGCATCATTCTAAGATGTACTTAGAACAAGACAGACTGGGCATAATAGACAGGTCTCAGTGTGATTCCTACCTTTCCCCTCTGAGTGATGCCTCTGTATCAGTGCTATAGCAACAAGCTCCCTTCTTGAATAGTTCAAGGTCCCGAAACTGCACTTGCAGCACTTCTGGTTGCAGCAGGAGCATTCCAGATGTGCACATCTGACTGCATGAAAGCTTAGAACCCTGTCCATTCAAGATGGGATTCTCCCTCCTTTAGAATGCTTGTGTTTAAATGTGGTTAAATGATAAACATTGGACAAAACCAGCAAATTATCAACAACACTGGCGCCAGGATTGTGCAAGGGATGTCACTGAGTATCAGTGGGCAAAAATTTGGTCATCTACAGTCTCTCCAACGAGAGCTATTAATATAAGAGTCCAATTCCGAAAAATGGCATTTCACTCCATTACGTTTGCACCACATTTCACCCTCATATAGCCCCAATTGTGTGAGGGGATGTGGGCAGCCTGGTTCTTACATTCGCTGCTGGCGGACATGCCCTAGATAAACTAGAATACTGCAAGGTGTGCGAACCAATAATAATGATTATTAAAGACTTTGAGTGATAAGCAAGTACAAAATGACAGTAATCCAACAATATTTTTGTGTAATCAATGGATGATGTGACGAAATTCTCCGAAGTTGATGTTCCGTTTCATAAGAACTTCTTCCAACATCAATTCATCAAGATGTGTCCTCCCTGGATCATAGACATTCCAAATGGATTCAACGTTTTTCACAAAAGAGTATAGTATTCATTCCTGGTATTCATCAGACCATATTGTAAAATGCGGGCTAATCATGCCCTGCCATGGTGCAATATTGGACCACTATTCTTAACCTGATTTATGACATTACTGGGCACAATATCCCTATGAGGCAAGAACTTGTCTTGCTTAATTTATGGGAGGGGATAGATATTCCTGCTGTCAGGAGAGATCTCATTTCTTAAATGTTGGTGGCAGCCAAGACTTCAGGGGCTAGGCATTGGAAAAATAGTAAACAACCCTCATCAATTATGTGGTTTAATAAGCTATGGGAACACCTAGTCATAGACAAAATATCAGAAGTTATATCCTTGGCAGAGAATCCAGAGTTTCATTCAGAGTTTTTGGAACGTTGGTTTCCCTTTCTTGAATATACAGAAAGACATAGTAAGGTGAAAAAGGCACTTCCAGATAATTTGAAGGTTATAGCTATATATTGAATAGCTGTTTGGTCTTATTGGAGTATGTTTTTATTGTAGTGGTTTCCTAATAGTATGCGCTACTGTAAATCATTGCTATATTATATAAATAAAAGTTTTTTTAAAAAATAGAATGCTTGTATTGATCCGTGCTTTTCAAAGAGCAAGGCAGACCTCCCTAAGGAGACCCAAGCAGTTATGGAGGGAGGTTCAGTGGCTGGGGTTGCCGGGTCACAACCTGGAAACCATGTCCTTTGCAGCTCTACTGCAAGTGCAAGAGGTTGCACTCACAGCCCCCCCCGCTGGGCAAAAAACCATTGCAGTGAATCGGAAACTTGAGGGCAGGGAATTATTGAAAATACAGGCAGAGGGATAGTATAATCTCCCACTGTCAACACCCTTCCCCCACTCCATTTCTGGGAAAGGAATACATTTGCATCAGAGTTGTTTCCCTCCCATGAACTTCATTGCTGGAACCAGCTCCTCTTGCCCCTATCGCAAACAGAGGCACAACACAAACCCATGAAGTCAATGAGGCATGAACTCACCTATGGAAAAGAAATGTTTTGCATGCTGGTCACAGCTAAAGTTCCCGAACAGGCCAGATTGCTTTCTCTGCAGCCAATGAGCAGATTTCCCCAACTCGTCAGCAATAATTCATGCTAATAATCCTCTAGCACCTTCATTTGAACCGGTTTGGGACGGATCAGAGCAGCTCAGAACCCACTTCTGGCTTTTAAAAGGCCAGTTTTCACCCCCTAATTTGACAACAACCTCCCGAGAATAATGCATCAGATAAGGACAATGTTGATCTTCCTTTCTCCTGCTTAGTAATATGCCTAAGGCTGGAACTAGAGTTTGACAGCAGACACACAGCTGCCACTGAAAACAGCAGCCCCGTGCTCTCCCCTGTAGCATCCAGTGATACAAAGAAGAAGAGATTGGATTTATACCCCGCCCTTCACTACCCAAAGGAGTCTCAGAGCAGCTTACGATCTCCTTTCCCTTCCCCTTCCCACAACAGGCACCCTGTGAGGTAGGTGGGGCTGAGAGAGTTCTTTTTGAAGCTCTGAAAGAACTTGTGACTGACCTAAGTCACACCAGCAGCTGCATGTGGAGGAGTGGAGACTCAAACCCGGTTCTCCCAGGTTAGAGTCCGCGCTCCTAACCACTACACCAAAGTGACTGGGCCAGCAGTACAGAGAAGTAAGTTCCCACCCTCCACTTCTCTAGCTGTAGTTTGTCGGGATGGCAACTTGGCAGGGCAAGGACCTCCCCGCAGGCATTCGTATCACTCCTGGGAAAGGTGGAAGTGCAAGAAAAGGGGTGGGTGTTTTGGGTCAGCATTGGATGGACTTGTTCCAATTCAGATACGTACATAATAAGAGTCCCCGGGAAAGGCAGTGGTGCGATGAAAAGTTGAAGGCAGCAGGAAAAGAGGAAGACCCAGCAGGAGATGGATGGACTCAGTCAATGAAGCCGTGGCCCTCAATTGACCAGGCCTGAGTAAGGCTGTTAATGATGGGATGTTTGGGAGGTCCTTCATTCATAGGGTCGCCGTAAGTCAGAAATGACTTGACAGCAATGTTCCCTCTAAGCTGTGGAGTCTTTTGAGCAAAAATTCTACTTTGTGAGCTACTGGCATTAAAGTTGTGAGCAAGTGATTTGGCTACTGC